ATCATATTCATTCATTTTGTTGGACAATTCATTAATTTTCTGGATAAAAGATTGTAATGTTTTATAATGAACACACATTTTGCCTCTTCTATTGTGTGTAGAATTTAAAAAAATTCTATATTTTCACGTTTTTACAGCCACAAGTACAGATCGCATGCTTGCTTCAGTCCAAAAGCCGTTTGCTATAGAGTCTTAAGCCCGGAACACACCAATCCGACGGTCGGCCGTCTGGCAGATTTTGTGCGTCGGCCAACTAAGTTTCCTTGGTGTGATGCGCACGGTGCCGTGCCGTCGGCTGAAAATAGTCCTCGCCGGCTTTGTTTCGCCCGATTCGACGGCGGGGAAAGAGAGAACTCTGATTGGCTGTTCAGCTTAGTGAAAGAGTCAGGCACGAGAATAAAAGCCAAACAGCAAGCAAAGAAGTCAAAACGGTAAAGATAGAAGGCTGTTCTTATGTAACGTCATCTCACCTCAGTGATTCTTGGTGAATATTTCAATGTTAACATGAGCGGAGTGGAATAAAGAAAGCGTTTAGCAGGATTGATATTCAAAACGGTAAGCATACGCGACTTTGTTTACGTTATGTGTATCTGCAGCCGGCAGTGTCGGTTTTCCTTATTGAATGACGAATATAGACTAACATATCTGCAGAAATAGACAGTTGGTCCATTAAACGCAGGCGCAGAACGCACATTCTAGCGGACAGTGGCCTGTAGTTCTTTCGGTGTGTTCAAGTGTACCTCGACGTGAGGCGACAACACAGTCGGCGCAAGACAGTCAGCGCTAGTTTCGTTGGCATTGGCTTGGTGTGTTACGGGCTTTATAGACCAACAAACTAGCTGATTATAAAGTCTTAATATTACATAGATTTAGAACTGTTTGGTATCATTTCTCTAAGATACACAAACATATAAATAAATCAAAAACAATAATTGGTGTTGCAAATTGCAACTAATCATGACAAAATTTGAAGCTGTAAATATGCACTCTTTGGTAAGAGTGTGAACACTCAAAACACCCTGGAACACTGATGCATCAAGTGCAGGTCATAACTGTGTCATAGCTATCGTTTATAATAGGGATGTGCGAAACTACTCAACTAGACTGCTCTAATCGACATTGGAAAAGCTAGATGTTTACATTCATGTTTTTTGCACATTTATGTTTGCTTTACATTTTTACAAAGGCTGCATTAAAAATTCTGCCATGTTACACATTTTAAATAATGTATTGTTTTTAAAGTGTATACTAGAGCAGGAAATTATTTTCTCAGACCTTGCATGCATTAGTTTTTCCCATGTGTCCACTCAGTAGATGAGCAAGATAAGAGTGTTTTTTCAACACTTCCACGTCATGTCAAACTGGCATATCAAAATTACCTTAATCGAAGGCTTGTTATACAAACGGTTATCAGGGAAATATGAAATTTGATACCAGCTTAAATGGGAAACGTTATGAAATTAAACTTGACAATGTCAGGGCTTTTTTTTTTACCATTTTTCTGGCCATTCAAATCAGGACTTTTATTTGAGGATTTCTGTTCATTCTGGCTATTGGGTTTGTGGTCCTATACTGCCAATTGATTCAGTTGATTTTATAAATTTGGCTAATGTTGAATAAGTGAACGCTTAAGTTTAATTTTACATTGATCACCAATGAAATGATCTCTTCCAACAATGAATTATCCTATTTTAAAGGACATAATTGCCCCAGTTCCAATAAATATATAATTCAAATTAAATATTGCTGCATAATTTGCAAGAATATAAAACAATTTTAAAGATCGGGATAAGTATCACAAGGTATGAGACTGAGCAGCCAGGTTGGAAGAGATCTGGTGTTTTACAAAGATCTGAACGGTCTCTTACATCTCCAGCTGTTCATTAGAAATATGAATATTTAGAATGCATATAATCATGGTTAGTGGCTGAAAGTAATGTATATACTGAAAATGGTGCTGAAATATATATATATATATAATATTTTTAGCTTTACATGACTGCTACTGACACCAGCAAAGAAAGGGATGAATTGATTAAATGTGACCAAAACAAGGATACATCGATTTTTCTTCTTTTACTTTTCTTTATGCTTTACTTCGTTTCAAGCCAAAATAAATGTATTAAGTTGGAATCTGGAGTATGGAGAAGGATGATTTGTGCTTAGGCTTACGCTTCATTCAGTGCTACTCTTTAACTCATCTTCTGAAATTTCAGCTTTACAGTACATAAAAAACCAAGTTTACAAAGACTGTCAACTTAATTTTAACAATACTTCACTGAGCAAAAGGGGCCACAAAGCTGGATGTACAAAAATTACAGGCAAAAAATTACAGTTACTATTTATGAATTTTGTATTGCAAGTAACCAAAAGCATATGGACAAACTTTATCAAAAACAACACTTGAGTTTGAGTTTCAAAATAAAAGAATCCTTTACTTAAACTAAAATACACCATGTCATTAGTCTGTTTAAAACAGTGCTGTGTAATGCCAGGTTCAGACTAGACTATATTTGTTAAAATATATTTGTTACGATAATCACTGTGTCAGATTATGTGATTCTGACTCCTAAATTCGTGTCGGACAAGAAACATGTCGACTACACGTTGCTTCCAGACCAATCATCGCTTGCCATCTTTAACAACATATGTGATGTCACTGAGAAGGCAGAACTAGAGACTGACTTCGGGAAACAAGAACTTAAAAACAAAAGCTACAGAAGCAGGCTGTCAGCTTAATGCGTATTCCAGTACTCACCGGGTTGCTGAGGCGCCTCTGCTATTGTTCGCCAGCATTAATCTTTTTTCACTCTGTCGTAGTAGTCCCTCGAACAGGAGTATTGTTGCCTCCATTGCATAAATCCACCTAGCAGCACCAAAACCATCATCTCGCTCACGTTTCGCCATGTTTGAAAGCTGTGTATGGAAGAGTTTCTGTGCTGCTATTGGTCAAGGCCACAGATGTGACAGAACTCATCGTGAGTGAGAAACGTGAAGGCCAAGTATTGTAACCCATACTCGGCATTTAACCCATTCAAGTTAGTGCTCACAAGAGTAGTGAACAAACACACACCAGAGCAGTGGGCAAACATTTTCAATGTGGCACCCAAGGAGCGATTGGGGGTTATGTGCCTTTCTCAATGGCACCTCAGTCGTTTCCTGCCGGCACTGAGAATCGAACCCACAACCTTTGGGTTACCAGTCTGACTCTCTAACCATTAGGCCATGACTGCCCCTACACCTCCACCCTTTTTTCAGTGGAGGACCGAAAAAAAAATGAAATATGCAAGTCTTTCTGCTGTGAAGCTGAAGCATCACAGCCGTGGTGTCAGTTGTTGTCCACAAGAATCGATTGATTCTTGCGTCCTGACGCCCATTGTCTTTTACGAATGATATCGCGTAGTCTGAACCCAGCATAAAACAGACTGAAAGAGTTATTTTTTTCAAATGTAGAAAAGCTTAATTGCCCTCATTTGGTAATCCATCAATTCAGGGGTGCGTTTCCCGAAAGCATCGTTAGCCAACTATGGTCGCAAGTTGGTCACAATTTCCATTGAACTCTATTGGAAAACGACGGAACTTGCGACCATAGTTGGCTAACGATGCTTTCGGGAAACGCACCCCAGGTCAACTGTTCTTTAAGTTCTTCAATATTTAAATGAAAGGAAAATCCACCATCTCTTTAGTGTGCATGTTAATTCCTCATGTAAGAGCTTCCTCGCTTTCTACAATGTTCTGACAATGTCCAAAATTACTAAATTTTTACTGTAATTCCAGCTTGTTAGAACAATCCTTAAGCTTTTATCAACATAATAAACACCAACTTGTATGGCAAGCTTGTGATTTAGGTTTAGGTCTTCACACATCAACCAAAAAAAAACAAAAATCCTTCTAAAAGTAGCTCGACAGAATTAATGGCTCTATTGTGAGACCCATTTTAAAATAAGCCACAAAATGACAATAGTGCAGAGTAATGTATAGCTTCCTACAAGATTAAACTGATATGCATTCATTGAATTTCAAGTCGCACAACAAAGGGTCATTATTAGGAGTTGTGTGTTTCTGTGTGGAGCGTACTAATTGTGAGGCTGTTTAATATTGGGCTAGATAAAATAAAGATTTATTACACAAAACAGCAACATCATGAGAAATTCTTCTCCATAGAAGCCATAACACTAAAATGCTCTAAATAAGCCATCATAAGTCTGACGTTTTACAAGCGGACTTGTATTTGGATACTTAAATCTTTCGCTTAAGAGTAGCCATTGCAATGCTTGAGTTGAAAGTGGAGACTTGGATTCAATTCATACCATGCTAATAAAATTGTGCTTAAATTTGACACAGTAAAAAATGATTCTGCTGAAGGAGTTACAGGTCTTAGTTTAAAAAAAAAAAACGACTCTGCTCCTAGTTTTAATCTAGTGATGACCGTTTTAAAAGCTTAACTTACATTTTACTCAAGAGATCAGTTCTGCCAGTGACATTTAAAAATATATATACATTACAAGTCTCAATGGACAGTTTTGTAAATAAAATATTATTTTAAATTAGCTAAATTGTTGTGGATCTTCAAATAAGAATTAAGTAAATGAAGATTTGGGAGGATAAACAGAGAAAGACAATGATAAATACCATTATAAAATACAATACTTTTGGACATCAAAGTTTGTTAGTTTTTCAAACACTTTCAAGTTAGGTCAACTAACTGCCTTTAGTGAGACAACATGATATTTGCTGTTATAATATATTTGCTCGAGAAAGCATTTAATAATCCATATTTGGAATATGGATTGCAATTGTTTTAAAAACCCCAGGAGATCCCATGTCTCAGGAAAATTCTTTTTGGATTCTTTCAACTTGGATTGGGAAAGAATATCCTGAAACATTGATCAATAATAAGAGTACTTACCTTGTTTAGGTGAGAAACTGGGTCAAGTAACTATAAAGTCACAGTTTAAATTATTGGATAAAAGAAGCATGCATGCAACGTGAGGTCCTACCATATCCGTCTCGTCGTCATCCTCCTTTTTCACTTCAGCCTTTGGTTCTTCTTCAGATGGGTTGAAGTCTTCCATCTCCACCTATCACAAAAGCAGTTTATGTTACTATGAGAAGAAAAGAATAAGGAAAACTCATTTACATTTCTTTAATGAACATAATAACGGCACAAGTCATTAACAAACGTACATCTTCAATTGCCGCATCCTGCAGTAGAGACCTGGTATCTAGCCGTATCATGTGGGGTGGTGCAGACTCCCAGCCACTGGCCAGCTGTGCACAAAATGCATATTATTAGTCAAGCTCATGAAAAAGGACATCATGTAGTTCTGGTGGTATTACTCAAACCGTAAATTAAGTTAAAGAAAATACCTTCGTAATATCCTTTAGTATTCGCCCATGTATGTTTCTCTTTGTACATGTTTGGTGATCAGTGGTGATTTCAGCCAAGTACACCTGAGAATAAAAAAATCAGAGTTAAAGGCGTAGATCTAAAAAGTATATACTGCTGCACTCAATTCATTCCTAGAAAGGAACCACTTAAACATATTAAATAAAGATGAAGCTCACCTCGAAACCTTTTGTCTTAGCAGCACTCCAGAACTGGTCAAAGTACTTCACTTTATCATTAATGGCATCCAGGATTATGAAGGGAAAAAATCCATCATCCAGTGTTTTCTTAAATGTCTTCAACATACTGTTTCGATATGTATCTTCCATCTCCGGTTCATATTCATATTCGAGCACCTGATCGATGGCCAGGAAGATTTACATGATCAGTTAGAGAAATGAGTAGAGGTTTTTCCATTTAAAATAAACGAACACAAAGAAGTTCCAGCTTTAGTTCAAACCTTGTTCTTGACGCGCTTCCCAGTGTCAGGGTCCTTCTCAACTTTTTCCACTTCAGTCATAAAATAATCGTCCAGGCCAAGCACTCTGGGTGGTGCACCTCCACATTCAACCTCTTTGTCCTATATCAGTAAAAGCATAATTACTTCATGGATGAATTGAAATGACAGTCATTTACAAAAAAAAGGAAACTACATTAGCAAAAGTGTTATTTTGTTCTTTTCTTTAGGCTTTGTGAAGTCTCTTTGGCCTAAAACATCTCATCTCAAGCACTTCCAGCTATGCGAGCTAGATGAAATGCAAATATGCACTGCAGTCTCATTGCCAGCAGGGGCAGTAGAGAGAACATTAGCATAAATTGTTTCCTACTGCGGCTAGTTTTCTGTATATTTATGAGCTAGCTTAATAACAGCCTCCAGTTTAGTATATAGTCATTTGAAGGCAACTCAACATTTACCCTGAGGGGCTTGTCAAATTCCATAAACGGCCAAAGTAGACCAAACATTTTTGGGAAAAATAATAATTATAAACATTAAAATATCTTATAAAAGATCTCATGTATTACCCTAATAAGTTTTGCCACATGACTTTTGCCACTTCCAGGTAGTCCACGCATGATGACTACGATCTGAAGAGAAAAAAAAAATTACTGTGGGTAAAGCATGATTTTCAAAAGTAGAGAATAATTATAATAATAACAACAAAATAACTATGGCATACCCTGTCAGGTCGAGTTGATCGTCCTGGGTGTTTGAGGATGTCCTCGGCATTCTTTATCTCTGGTTTCTTCTCCACACGAGGAGGGGCAACAGGTGCAGGAGGGGGCAGTGATGTGGAGGGTGGGGGGCGCTCATCTGGATAGCTCCTCCGATCACCTGGGTAAGAAATAGAGGTATCTTACACAGGTCCCAATTTTTCAGGCTTAGTAATTACACGGTTATTCATTACTATAGTGACTTACTTCCATAGCTTGAGGATCCATGGTCATAATGCTCAAGACTCCTTTCATAGGAAGACCTCTCATAGCTTGATCGGCTATAAACCTCACGGTCCCTGCTCGAGCGGCTTGGGTGATCTCTTTCTCTGTCTCGGTGTCCTGGACGAGGCCCAAGTGGAGGTCTGAAAGCAGACACAAGAAAAAAAAATCTAGATTTAATACTGCACTCTTGTTTTCCAGTCTGTGACAAACAAGTGCTTGAACCAATATGGGTATAAAATACATAAAATGTCAAATAGAGTGAGAAATGAATGCAGCAGCAAAGTCTTGAAGTACCTACCGTTCATCTCGTAGGTAACGGTCCCTTTCATATCGGTCTCTCTCATAGTCCAGTGCTGGCTTCTCCCTATATGGATCTCTCTCCCAATCCCTGTCATAATCTCTGGCACCACCATATGGGTCACTTCTTCTGTCATAGTAAGGGTCTCTAGGGCCAAGCAGTTCTAACAAAGAAGAGAAGTTCATCACACATAAAAAAAACACAAATAAAAATAAACAGCCCCAATGTTTTTATGCAAACAAACCCAATATTAACAGAACAGAACCAACCTTTCTCATACAGCCGCTCAGATGGCGGTGGGGCAGGCCTCAACACAATCCTCTCTCCATAAGATATCCTTTCCACTGTTGCACCTGGATCTGTTAAATGAAAACACAATATAGTTTGACTAAATACATTTAAAATTATGTCAGCTGAGAGGCAGAATATATACTGACCACGGCCATGCCCATAGTCCACTGTTTTAGCAATGAATGTGGCAGTAGGAACAGGTGCTGAAGAATGAAGAAAGTCTGTAGATTGATTTGAAGGGGCTAAACCAGCTTCCAAGATCTGTCCCGTTTCTGACAATAAATTGGCAGCCTTTGAGAAAAACAAAATAGTCATTCAATTAGAGTTTTTTCATTAACATACTATAGGACATTAGTTTCAGAATTAAGGAGCATAATTTGAAACCCAAAGTTGGCATACCTGCAGAGCACTTTTAACCTCGGGTGTAATTTCCAATCCAAGAATTCCAGGAGGAAGTTCTGTAGGCAACCCAGTTGAATCAGGGTTGGGAGCATCTCCCAAAGACTTCTGGCTTTCCTGGAGCTCTCTAAAGTTTAAATAAAATCAGTGAGATTTTAACTTATGAAATCTCATCCAGCTAGCCTGTATGACTCGAATGTTATTTAAATAATGATACTCTGTTGGGAAATAAATTTTACCTTATCATTTTCAACTCCTGAGCAGCTTTTAGAATGATCTCATGCTGCCTTTGAGAAAGAGCAAGTACAGCTGTATTTGCAGTAGGTGAAGACTGTTCAAGTGGGGTCTCCGGGGCATGAGGTGCAGGCATGCCAGCTAGTGGTTCTGGGTTATGTTCATATTGGGGCTTCGTTTCACCAACTGAATGAGCGTAACCTCTCTCTGGTGGAGGCAGGGGTGGTGGCCTTTCCCAATCAGGATGAGAGTGAAATGAAGGATCCCTATCTCGTTCTTGATAAGGCGGATCATCAGGGTAACAAGGTCGTCTTCGTTCCTCTCTATATCGATCCTCTTCCTCAAATGGGAATGATTTTTCTCTTCCCTCTAACCAAGGATCCTCTCTAATGACCTCTGGGCGAAGATGCGGAGGATACTCTCGGTCAGGTTTCTCCCTGCCCCATTCGTCACGAGAACCATAATAGTCATCGTCTTGCTCATAATCTGGATGATAATCATGAATAGGCCTTCTGGGTGCATCATCTTCTTCACCATATGGGTATTCCTCATCATAATTTCCTTCTTCATGGGGTGGTGGGACACGCCACCTCTCCATTGGCATTGGGGGCCTCATAGGTGGTCTTCTCATCCCTCTGCCCATTTCTTGGGGGGGTAAAGGAGGACGCCTCAGCCCTCGACCACGTGGACGAGGCCATCCAGGTTCTCTGTCTATTTCTTCATCATATTCAAGAGATCCAGCTGGTTCCCTTGCCAAGATTTCATGAGGTGGTGGTGGCCGTCTCATGTCTCGCTCCATCATGTCATGGTGGGGTGGTGGTCCCCATGGGCCTACACCGCGTCTGAATCGTGGTACCATTCCCCCACGTGGTCCCATGTGAGGAGGTCCATGTAGGTTGTGTTGCAAACTTCCAGGAGGAGGGGGGCGCCTTGGACCATGAAGCATAAATCGTGGATTGAAAGGGGGCCTTCTGGGACCTCCTGGAGGAAAGGGAGGTCTAGCACGCATTGGAGGTCTTCTCTCTGCCCAGTATGGATCTTCTTCCTCCCAATAATCTTGTTGTTCTTCTTCCCAGTGTTCACCTGGAGGAGTGCTCTCTGGATACTCTTCTGGGAAGTGTTCTTCCTCTGGATGCCACATCTCAAGGGGTGCTTCTTGGTCCTCTAATTCTCCAGGACCATCTAAAGAGGGATCTCTCCAAACCAAATCCTGGTCCTCTTCATGCCTTGTGTCATCGGTTTCCTGATGGTCATAGGGATCCTCCTGCATAATTTCTCTCTGGCAATTGGGATCAGCCACTTGTCCCCCATACTGCCCTCGACCACGTGCACGGCCCATTCCCCGAAGAGGCACTGGCCCTTGGCCCCTTCCTCTCCCTCGGGTGGCCTGAGGTGGACCAGTCTGAGTCGTCATGTGTGGCCCCCTAGTAGCCTCATTAATTGTTTCAGGTTTAAACTTATCATTTTGAGGAGGCTTTGCATTTTGTGGTGGCCCATTTGCAGCATGAACGGTTTTAGGAGGTTGTGAGCTAGACTTCTGAGGTTTCTTGTTTGGGGTGTTTGGACTTTCCGTAGGTAAGGATGGTTTAGAAGCATCTTCTGTTGGCTTATCCTGCTTTGCAGTATCAGCAATGGTATTCTCTGATTTAGTATCCTTAGTTTGAGGAATGGGTCCACTCTGAATAAAAAATCCATCCACTGAGTCCAGTAAATCATCTGTCAGTGAAGGACCAGTGGAAGCACCATCTTTTTTGCTATTTTGATCTAAGTGATCTTTGTGTTTTTCTGGGCCTGTTTGAGTTGGAGGAACTGGTGGTGCATCGGGTTTTGCTGATTGTTGCTTTGTTTGAATTCCAGGTACAGGACTGGATTGCTGTCCATGCCCTGGTTGTTGAGGGGGTATATGGGGTCTTTCAAAACGTGTAGGTGCATTCTGTCTAGGGGGGTTATCAAGTCTTGTTGGAGCCCCTGGGTGTTGAAGATTACCTCTGGGAGGTTGACTAAATCGCTGGCCACTGTCAAATCTGGGTGGCCCGCTAAACCGTTGCTGGGGTGGCTGTTCAAACCGTGGGCCTCTGGGACCTTCAAACCTGAAAAGAAATTAAATAAAATCAGAAATTAGTAGCTCCAGATAAATAAAATATTACCCAATTAAACATTATTCTAAATACAATACCTTGGGCCATCAAATCTTCCATGAGGCCCAGGGGGTCGGACCCCCAATCCAGGTGGTCGAAACCCCTGTCCATGTGGTCCAGCCCCCGGCCCATGTTGTCCAGGCCCCGGCCCATGTTGTCCCGGCCCATGTTGTCCAGGCCCCGGCCCATGTTGTCCAGGCCCCGGCCCATGTTGTCCCGGCCCCGGCCCATGTTGTCCCGGCCCCGGCCCATGTTGTCCAGGCCCCGGCCCATGTTGTCCAGGCCCCGGCCCATGTTGTCCAGGCCCCGGCCCATGTTGTCCAGGCCCCGGCCCATGTTGTCCAGGCCCCGGCCCATGTGGTCCAGCCCCCGGCCCATGTGGTCCAGCATGTGTTTCAGAGACAGTATCTGGACCAGACGATGGAAAAGGTTCTGCAGGTGATGGCCCCTGTGGAATACCTGGTCCAGAAGGCGGTGGGCCCTGTGGTCTTGACATGGCATCCATGTTACTTGGTGGAGGCATAGATGAAAGCCCTGGGCCGGCTAAATGCATGTTTCCATCTGGTCCGGGAAGTCTATGCTGCCCATATGGTCCCATCATGCTCCCATAAGAAGGACCTGTTCCATACTGAGGCTGCATAGCTCTTAGAGTAGTGACTCTCTCTTGCAGATGAGCTGAAGTTGAATTCATTTGCTCTTGCCATTGCCTCCACTGGGCTTCATAATCCTGCAGCTGGTCTTTGTGTGGGTATGTCTGAAACTGTTCTAACCACAAATTAAAGTGCCTGTCCCATTCTTGGTACAATGGAGAAAATCGCTGTTGCTGCATTTCGTAGTGTTGCAACTGCATTTCCATGGGCAAAGTCTGGTGGATATAATTGAACAATCATAAATAATATTGTAACCTTATTTTACACTTTTTCTGAGCCAACCATGCAAATTTAGAACCACTGAGAGATTTAATAAGACAGGAGATTGTACCTGGAGATGCGCAGGCTGTTGAATAACCTGTTGGTACTGTTGCAGGATCTGCTGTAGTTGAGCATGCTCTTGCATCAGTGCCTGGTACTGAAGGCTGGCTCTTTGATGCTGCACATGCTGCCAATGGGCAGCTGCCGCCTGTAGCTGCTGAAGACGTGCTGCTTCTGCAGGGTCTCCTGTCTCATTGATGCCACTGGGCTGTAATGAATTTCAGTAATCAGTTAAATATGATCAGACGAAATGATACACAATAATTAGTTCACAAGCACAAGATCATTACACCCCTATACATTTATCGGTAATCAATTAATGCTGTACCACATTTCAGAAGGTATAAAACTGGTTGGGTGGAAACAGTGTGCAAAAGATATTACCTTCGATTCCTCAGGTGGTGGGGGAGGAGGGGGTTCCTCTTTGGGAGGTGGTGGAGGAGGGGTGCTCTTTGGGGGTTCAACTGGAGGAGGAGGAACTGAAGCATGGCCTCCATTAGCTGAACCTTGATTCTGCATCGCCTTCTCATTTCTCAGCTTTTGCAAATTTTGACGGTGCTGCTGATACCAATAATCCTGCTGCTCCTGTACACAATAAACACAAATGTAACATTTTTGCATTGTTTGAATTCAAACACTGTACAAACTAAATCCATTTAATAACATAAATAGTTCACTCAAATGTAAAAATTTATATTATAATGTCCATGCCTATTGAAAAAAAAAGCTATATTCCAAGACGTCTGAAGACTACTCAATTAAGTAGTTAGGTCTCTTGTTATACTCCATTGCACATATTCCAATATGTGTGCCATGTTTGATTACGACATACAATACTGATGATGAAAACAAAAATGTTTGAATTTTTGAATCTCAAAGCAATTGCAAGGAAGCATACTCTTTAAATGAAATTCAAATTAATTTGTTAAAATGTACCATAATAAATAGATAGTCAATTGTAAGGCACCATCATCCCACCAACTTTGGCTTCAAGCAGGAAAAGAGAATTCTTTCATGAAAAAAATGAAAGAATGAAGGGAAAGAGAGCATTCAAAGAGGCTAATATAAAACACAAGGTCATTAATTTGCATTGAGAAAAGGCCAGAAAGTATGCAACATCCTGTGATATGTATAGTGTACTTGGCTGTTAAAATAGATAAAAGAAATCTTTAAATGTAAACATTCGAATGTGTAAAGCCGCTCATATGATTTTTCCGATTCAATGTTAATGTTACTGTCCTGCACTGTTTTTTGTTTGTTTGTTTTTTTACCTGTGCCTTGTCTTATAGGGATAGTTTACCCAAAAAATTTTATTCTGTTATAATTTACTAGGCTAACCCTAATGTTTTTCCAGACCTGTACGAGTTACTCTCATTTGTTCAAAATAAGCTATTTTGAAGAATGTTGGTTATCGAACAGTTGATGATAGCCATTGACTTCCATAACTACAATGGCTACCATCAACATTCTTTAAAATATCAGAAGAATGAAGAAGAAAAACTCATACAACAACATGGGTGTGAGTAATTGAAAGATTTTTTTTTTCCTTTTTGGTGAACCATCCAAAGTGTAAAAAAATTCTACAAGACCTAGACAGAATATTTTACGAGTATGATATGCTAATTATATTGTAGGCTACTCTACCCAAACAGGAAGTCTAATAATGTTTTATTAATAATAACATGACATTAATAAGAAGAGGAAGAAGAGGAAAAAGAAATGCAAGAGAAGCTTGCCTGCTGAGACATCGACGAAAAGTCTGGCTTTTCATCCGCCACCGATGAACTGGTTTCGCTAACCTGTGGTACTGGAGCTGCAGATAAGGAAGATGATGTGGGCTCGGGCGCTGGAGGCTTCGCCTCCGGCGGAGGAGGCTGAGGCTGGCCGGCTGGACCTCTCTGGGTTGAGGGATCCTGAAAAGTGTTGGGTGGTGCACCGCCGGCCTGCCAGTACGGAGCAGGCCCGCTGCTGGTGTTGTTGCCGGAGTGATGCAGCACAGACTGAAGCTGCTTCTGATGAAGCTGCTGCAGTTGCTGCATTTGTTGTAAATGCTGTTCGTGTAAACTAGAGAAATTAGATGACGCTTGCACCGACGGAGCTCCATATCCCCCAAATCCTCCCCCAGCTGCTGCTTGTGCTGGTGCAGCTGCTGATGGGGGCTGAGCTCCCCTAAACTGATGAGGCCGCGGGCCGAAGTGTGGAGGAGGTTGGGGTCCCCCTCCATATCCTCCCCAGGAGGGATGCATGCTTGATCCGAGACACTGCGGGCCAGGCGAGGCCTAGCCGCCTGATCGCATAAAGCCGGTTCCTTCGAAACTATCACTACTACAATTTGAAAATACGAACGCAGTTATATAGACACAGAGTGTAACTATCTCATGAAGTAGAAAAAAGATTTTATCTTTGCAGATGTGCAAAAAAGACAACGCTTACATAAATAATTATTGTTTGAGTGCTGTTTCCTCGTCGAGCTTGTGCGTGCGTGCGTGTGCCCAACTGCGCCTGCGCCCAAGCGTCAGTGTGTTACGCCCACTTGCGTAACACGTCATCGCATTTCCTTTACACTTCTTCATGGACGTGCGCATTACCACCACCTGTCGCACTGGTTCAGTACTAGGGCCTGTGCTTCAAGGTGAAATTGCTCGATTTAAATCATACATTGAAAAACGTATTGTAAAAGCTCTTAACTTAACTTAATGAGACATAATTGCTAGGATTTAGTATTTTTTAACCTTTACGTAATTGCGTTCAAACTCCAACTCAGTAGGTGGCAGAAATAAGCTGGTTTGCCAACCATAATACTACAAAGAAGATATTTGTTGTTGTTTTTTTGTTTGTTTGTTTGTAAATAAAAACATAGTCTTATTAACACTGAGTGTAAGCCTGGTCCATTAAAGTTTCTCACTTGAATTCCCAGCACAAAATGATCTGAAATCGTATAATTTCTTGAAGTAGCCTACTTTTTTTCTTTTTTTTTACGGAGATAACTGGGTACTTTTTGCCTATTTTATGAGTAGCCTACTGTGAATTTGGACATATCGGTACTTCTTTTGTAACATAATGTTTTTCGCCTAGGCTATACGAATCCGGCGAAACTACCGGAAGTAAGCGGGCGCCATTACTGAGCTGTTGCTGGGTAGCGTTGCGCCATTGCCTTCTATTGTTTTAGTTGCAACTTGTGTCCACTGGAATAAACAGCTCGCGATTTACGACTGTCACTAACGTTACAACGTTAGCCCTTGTATAATGTCGAGTGGGTAAACAGTTTCCGTTATAAATTGTTTCAATGGTGGCAGTAAAATTTCAATTTTGAAGAGAAAACATTGTGAATACCCCGGGTCGTACGGTTTACACAGATTTCCTGAGCGAGTACAAGACGCGGACATTCGCGTATAATAACAATTATTTAATGACATTGTAAAATAATATAATAAATGTGTGATATAGTGATCAGCAAAATCTCCTCTCTTGTTATTTTTTCTATTCAATTTACATGCTATATGGTCAAATGGCTGTAACGTTAAAATGAATGTAACGTTATGTGACATAATTGTTCTCCTGCTGTTATATTGACCTCTTTCCATGGTTTAAAAACAGTATTTGGTCGATATTATGTATACTTTCTAGCTGTAACGTTACCTTACCCATGCCCGTTGCAATGTAAAAATGAGATAAATAATGGACACAAATGAAAAACATGAAATTGTTTATTTGATTTCATTTATTTATTTATTTATTGTTGCCAAATGGACAGATCTTTTTTTTAGTTTCCTCGGTAGCAAACGTTAGCCTAGCTTGCTTGCCAAGCTATTTTCATAAATAATCTGTCGTTTGTACCTTCATCTGTGACTGGAGGCCAATGTCTAACATCATCAACCCAACAAGTCTGCCTGGCTGTAGCTGTCATCAAGGGTGCGTTATCACCTTATCTCTGAGGTTTGTAAATTTACATACCGGTGCATATGTCTATGCCGGTGTAACAGCTCAGTAATGGCGTCGCCACAAGATGGCAGCCTACACAAGAACGCTCGTCGGATTCGTCTATAAGGACATATGAAGAGTTCAGATGCAAAAGCCTCTAAATGCCATTTGAAATTTTCTTCTTTAATGATGATTTTTATGAAACTTGTATATTTAAGTTCAGTAATTTCACTTAAATAACAATTAATAGGTAATTATCATTGCCATTTAAGTGAAATTACTGAACTTAAATATACAAGTTTGCTAAAAATTATCATTAAAGAAGAAAATTTCAAATGGCATTTAGAGGCTTTTGCATCTGAACTCTTCATATGCAATTTTCCAATGTTTTTACAACTTCACAAAGTTGTATTTAGGTAAATGGTAAATGGACTGCATTTATATAGCGCCTTCATAGACCTAATGGCCACCAAAGCGCTTTACATTTGCCTCACATTCACCCATTCATACACTCATTCACACACCGACGGCGGTGTCAGCCATGCAAGGCGCCATCCAGCTCGTCGGGAGCAGCTGGGGTTACGTGTCTTGCTCACGGACACCTCGACACTTGGTCAGGTGGAACCGAGGATTGAACCACCAACATTTCGGTTCGGAGACAACCCACATGAACCACTGAGCCACTGTCGCCCCAGGTACTGCTACCTTTACAGCTAGTGGATCCGCTATCACAGTGGTAGTTTGCTTGGGCACATACAGTTTGGGTGGGATGGGCCCAGTGTTGGCAGTGTGAACATTGCCTCCAACGCCAGGATCTGAATGGGGCGTCGGAAGGCAGACTCAAGATTTTTGTAGGTGACCCAGTCTCGGCGGAACTTAACCCTTTCCTCTTCTCTCCTGGTGGACCAGGATGGCTTCTGCAACTCAGGGACAACCGTTATCTTGGGAAAGGGGTTGCACTTTGTAGACTGAGGTCGTTGTCGGAGCTCAGGCTCTGGCTTGGACTGAGCCTAAGCGGGCGACATGATAGGCTTTGCGGGCCTCTGATTTGGCGGGGCCTTTTGGCGACTTGAAACATGCATGAAGCATGGCTTGTAATGATTTTTGCGCTGCCGTGATGCAATCCGCAAAGCCATCTACAGTGGTTCCGAACAAGCCGGTGGGAGTTGAGGAAGGTGGGCTGAGGTGGTTCTGCAGGGCTTAGATGGATAAAACGCCTTGGTTTTCCATCCCAGAGCGGTGGGCGGACAGAGGTGCATAGCAACGCCCTCTTCAAGAAGAGGGAGCTTCTCATAGCCAGACAAAAGAGTAGATGCGAGCCGAGTATGTGGTGTACCACAATTTGGTGAGTTCATCATGAACTTCCGGGAAGAATAGTGCAGGTCTCTGATAGGGGGCTCGCAGGTGGCCCCCTGGCAGGAATCACTCACCCAAGTGCTGCGGACGGGCTCTTCTGGGGCAGACCGCTCCAAGCCGAGCTCCTCAATGCCCTTCGTCCAACATCCATCCACCGCCGGAATCTCTGGTCAGAAGGGAGCTGGAGTTTTCCACTGAGTTTTCTTTTCCGTTAGAAGCCACCAATGACATCAGCAGCCTCTTTCTCAAATCCATCAAAGGAGACCATACCGCTCACTCCAGATGAGGGGGTGCAGATCCTTCTGGGAGAAGAGCACGGGTGAAACATCTCGTTGCTGGGAGAGTGAAGCACACTGGCCCTGCACATGCGTGGATTCACTAAAACGCACATGCTCAGCCCTCTGACTTTTTCTTTCTCCAAGGCTCCTGGGAGGAGGGAGAGCATGAGGGGCGGGTGATCCACGAGCGCAAAGTTGCGAGCCTCGCAATGAGCGCAGTCTTTCCCGGTGAGCACTGCTTCAGTGTGAACTCAGCCCAGGCAACCAACACACTTACTGTGCTTGTCTGAGTAGTGGTGCAGCATATTGAATTAAACACCTCCGAAATAATTAGGCATGAAATTTGCTCTTCTTATTTCAATTGTTGTTGGATGGCTGCAGGGGAAAAGCGCTAAGCGGGAGCTTCTTTCCTTTTCCGAGACTCTTCTACGCAAAGTATCAGGTTTCTTCTATATTCTTTCATCATAGTCCAGTGAGGAGATGTTCTTCGCACTGAAGAAAGATTCGGACAATATGGCATTTGCCTCTGGATTTTAGTTACCTTATAATTAAAGTGGCTTGGCTTGTAGTGCTGTTCATCGCCATAGTAACTTACACAGGGAGATCTCAAACCGAAATTGGGCCAGTCAGGATCCAGTTGAAAACATAGCCTCTAAGTAAAGACTGTGTCTTGACGGGATAGTTATGTACATGCTAGTTATGATAGCATGTAGTCATATACACCTAGGAAGACTTGGGGGTGACTAATGCATGGGCAAATTTTCATTTCTGGTTGAACTATCCCTTTAAGAACTAGTAGTTAACGTCTAGCTAATTAGGGATAATCACTTTTTGGATTCAAATTAGACCAACCTTTTTATGTAACTGACTGAAAGTTATGACCAGTCTTTAAGAAAATGTTAAAAGACTGACTTGTAAGACTATTCTAAGCGGTTAATGCAATAAAGTCTCTCCCCTTGTTTCTCTTGCTCCAAATTAAAAGTCACTATATAATAATTTTAAAATACAAAATTGTAGCTTTTAGCGATGATAATTTATTTAATATTAATTACCCTTAATGCATTGCACATGAGCAATTTTACTTCAACAATTATTATTAAGCATTTAGTGTATTAAAGGTTCTCTAAGCGATCCTGGGTGTTGACGTTCGGAATATTTTCAAACAAATCGGAGGCTAGCTAGACCCTCCCTCCTCCGCATCTCATCTCCTCCCCCTCCCTTCCTTCTTGAAAAAATTGTGAATGTGCATTTCTAGCAAATTATATCATTGTGTGGGTTTGGCGAACATAAGCGTCAATTCAGAAGAAAAAACAATTTAACGTTTCCCACCTGTCCAGCAAAAACAGAGCAACCTGAATGTCGGACTGGAAGCCCTTCTGCCGCCGGAGTTCTCGCCATCATTCAAAAGCTTTGCTACCGATGTAAATTCGGAACTTCGCACGTTATTTATCCGACTCCTTCTTCTTTTTAATTTGTTCTTCAGAACGACGTCTCTTTGGTCGTGTCGGCCATTTTTCAAACTTGATGCTTCTATCTCCTTCACACACACACACCCTTCATGTGCACGCGCACTAACCCCCCAGACCCACCCTCAAATACTTCTTGCCAGTGATTGGCTGGAACACTGTTTGTTAGGTTTCGTGGTCCGGGTGAGACATGATTGTTTTTGTTGCCGTTTTCGGAGCCTGTGGTGTCTACAGAGACCGCGTTTTTTTTACAGTGTGTTTAGAGGACAGGCAGCTAGCCGATAGTGAGGAGACGTTTGATGTATGTGACAAAAAATGTTTTGGCCCCACATCGCTTAGAGAACCTTTAATATAAATAGATACTGATAGTATTTTGATGTAGGCTACTTCATATTCTTCAATCTCTTAATCTTCAGCAGAAGAGAAAATTGAATCACGCTGATTCTCTCGCGTTAATTGAATCTCCGTTTCTCAGTGTTTCAAGGCATGTGATTGG